AAGCAATAAAAAAAAGAGGTACTGTGAGCGCTGAGGTCACAAAATCATACCCCCGCTCCCATATGAGTAAAATGGCAAAGTCCATTTGTTGCTATGGAAAAACCCATAGATCTGTCTAATCAAAACTTAAAGTTGGAGGTGCACAATGGCACTGTGTTATGAAGATTGTGTGAAAGTATCATCAAATCTTATTCAGTTGTATAGGATACGGTGCGGATAAGATATAGGTAATATATAAATAATAGGATAATAGGTATTATAGAAATAATGGCAGCGTCCGTGTTTTTCCTTGGGAAACCTGAAATATGTGTCCAATCAAAAAGTTAAATAAGAGGTGCACAATGGCAACATGTAATAAAGATTCTGTGTGAGAGTATCATTAAATTTTATTCAGTGGAATAGGAGGAGTTGCGGATAAGAGATGAGTACCTTCAATATTAAAAAAAAAAAGAATGGCAGTGTTTATGTTTTGCTAAAGACATAACTGCTAGGTAACTTCTTCAAAATATTAAAATTACAAAAGTTTCACAAAACATAAGTTTTTCCAAATTTCTCCATAATATATGGAAAAATTGTATTAAACAAACAGAACAAAACAAAATTGTAAGGAAAAATTGACTGATATTTAGTCGTGCAAGCTAATATCAGTCGACATTACCAGACCAGACCAAATCTATTTCGAAGCTGAGCGTGTTTTTACTGTATAGCAGCCTGTTTGTCTGTTATCTTCTTAACTAGATATAGGATAGATAAGAAGTTATGGATGCAAAAGGACAGACATGTAATTAGATATAAAGGGGATCTGATATTTCTTGAACCTAGTGTCTTTAATAAAAGCAGGGTTACCTTGCGTGATTTTTACATTTAACATACTTCTCAAAATTCTAAAGTCCATCTAGACTGTATGAATGGTAAGGCTGCGATATTTAGGTCTGTTTGTCACAAGAGATATTGGAACTTTGCATTTGACCTTTAGCATACATGTTCATTAAAAACAAAATCTAAGAAAAAAAGGGTAACATATTTATATTGATTTAAGTTATAACCTTGTGACCCTGACTTTTCACCTGCTTATATAGACAAATAATTGTTCCCGAAATTATGTTAAAAATGCGTTTCAGTTTTCAGCATGGCTTGTAAAAATGTGAAGACATTTAAACACTACCTTGCCCTGTGACTAATCTTTGAGAGAATGTTAGGAGGGGAACTTTTAATATTTTGATATCTATCCAACGGAAGACAAAGGGTCGGTACACATGATAGACTTTCCGTACAAGTCTAAAATTTTGCAGTCCGTACGCGATTCTCATGTCCACAACAAGACTTATAAGATTATAAATAACATTTTCATATATTCCGCGTGTTTTTCAGCCCTAAACAGTGGATTCAGTCATTAAGATAGAAAACGGTAGGACACATTTCAATAACCTAATTCTTTTCGCTCCTGTTAAGCTTTTTCAAAGCTGATTGGCGGAGTTAAATCAAAGAAGCACAGAAACACACAATACGCATAGTTATAAATCGATTTTAATTAGTTTGTTTACTATTTATTCAAAGAGAAGCATCATATCCACAGTCCCTGACATCATTCCGTAGTCAAATTCAGTATAAAAACAAATATCTAACAATTGGTATGAAACAAGTCAGCCAAATACCACCCAAAGCTTAAGATTGGTTATATTTGGTAGCAATTTCATTATAACGACTTTAAAATGTATACCAAATGCTGATTTTAAATGAGGTTGTTGAAATCCATATAACATCAACATAATTGCACTTGCTTGCTTCAGTTTATAAAATGATCGTACTCGGAGCATGCTCTTGAGTATCGAATAAGCTCGGAAATCTAATCACTATATTCAGGTAATAGCGGGTTATTACTACATTAATTAGGAAAGCTCGTTTGTCATATAATTCAGTTGTTAGTTGGCCCTTATCATCTATAGTCAGTAAAACATCCTAATATGAAACAGATGTGGCAGACTCTGTGGTGTCTTTTATTTCAAGTTCATTTCGATATATCGAATTGACATATGAATGAAAGTAGTTATTGTTAATTGATAATAAATCGTCGATGTATCTGAATGTCGAGTTGAAGGCCACAGCAAGTGTTCTTTTCTTCTCATGTAGAAGGTTTTGAATAAATTCTGCTTCATCGGAATATAAAAACAGGTCTGCTAATAAAGGAGCTAATAAAGGAGCACAATTAGTGTCCATAGTAATTCCAACAGTATGTTGGAAGACCTGGTCTCCAAAGACTACATAAATGTTGTCAATGAGGAGCTTCAACATCCTTTTAATATCAACTTTAGAGTACTTGTTTGTAGAATCAGAGTGATCTTTTACAAAGTAATTTTGTTGATGACCAGTAAAAAGATAGGAAAAGTTTCGACTTCCATTTTTACTGATAAAGCAGTTATTTATATCAAAAATCTAGTTTCTAATTTATCATGAGGAATGGTTTTATAGCCAAAATTTGGCTATTTCAAATTTTCTAGAAGGTTTTCTTTTTTGGAGTTTTGGAGAATTCCAATCTGATTTACACCATTTCTAGAATTTAGAATATACCGTAGCACAGTACGTCTGAAGTTTCTCCTTAACAGCAATTAATATTGTATTTGGTTGAATTTTTCCGACAAAATACAGATAATCAAATTCGAATCAAATCTGAAAATGTTTCATTTGAATTTAAGTTTTGAGGATATATACTGATACAGGGGTGCAGATTGTGTTCTTAGTGTTGGATTAACCATGAGCCAAACCTCGACCTGAAAATGTATTTCCTGTCCTAAGAAATACTGGTAATCAAATTCAAATCTCATCTGGAAATGATTCAATTTTAATTATTTTCTAAGAAAATATTAACTGCAGCAGTGTTAGTATTCATGGTGCAAACTTCTTTCGGCTTGTTGGATGTAATATTAGTCGTACTTTGATCTAAAAATGGATCCCCCCCCCCCCTCCCGAAGGAATGGTGTTTCTGAAATTTAAATCAAATGTGAAAGTGTGGCATATAAATTCATGCTTCGACATTATGAGTTAAAACTGAGTTTTAAGTACTGAAATAATGTGTATAATTCATGAATTTAAAAGTGTAAACTCAAGACGATGCTGTGCAAATATTGTGTTCTGGATTAACTAATATCTCCATATTCTTTTTGTTATTTACATGTAAATTAAATCGTATTTATTGTATTTGTTTTTGTTTACCTCTTGGCTACATTCCAAACTTTACCTGTAGTTCTCAGTTCTGTTTGTTTTATTTGTCCATTCTTTTTTAAAAAAAAAAAAAAAAAAACTATCCATTCTCAATACGTATGGACACTTTTCCAAAAAGAATGGACACTTACAGGTAATTTATTGGATCGTTTGAGGCTTGAAAGGGTTTTCTGTAACTAGTGTAAATTTTCACACTTTTTGTGACAATTTGGTACGAATTTTACCTGCCTCTTTTTCTATAGTCGGTTTTAAATATGTTATTGCTGTGGTAAAATCATCGAGCTTACATGTAATATTTATATTTATTCAACTGGTTCCCTTGATTTCTACACAGTTTGTTATATTTTAACCTAAAACAAATTGTACTATATTTATTTCTTGTAAAAGACAGGTATGAGTGAGTTAATCATTTGATATACGGTTGTCAATTCATTATTTTTTTTATAAAACGTAATTTTTTACTGTGTATTTTTACGGTGTTACAATTTTGGTCCACCCAGTCAATTTGATTAACCTTCAAAAGTTCTGGTTTGAAAATTAATTATTCAAATGAAAAGTTGCAGCTTATAGTACATAATACATATTAATTTTCTGTGAGTTTCTGATCGTAAAATGTTCGAAAGACCATTGGGTTTTTTTTCTAAAAGTGTTGGGATTTGTATAAGCTTCAATGAAAGTTGAGAAAGTTCCACAAATTTAATTTGCACTTTTTTTTAATTAAACCCAAGTATATATTTATTTATATAATATATGCTTATGTTTTAAAATTAAAACTGTTCGCGGTGTAGATAAACACAGTTCGAAACAGAGAAATCTTTTACTGCTGTCTCACACTGGAACAATACTATAGCTACCTATAACTGCTTATAATGCGAGAAAAATATTATTCACAAGTAGTTAGAAGAAGGTGGATAATATTGTTTTTCTTTTCGGATGAACTGGATATTTGCTTGGACAGCTCTCGATCGATCGATCGATCGAATATGTAAGGGAAAAAACTTCTTTTAAACAATGATACATTTGTCATTCAATATAGAAGCATAAGTGTAGAATGAAGTTGATTAATGTTGTCAAATTATCAAAGAAGATAGATCATTTTACTGGAAAGATTTAATGAGAACAACATATCATCGTGTGCACATTTTACCCAACGGACCTCTTTATTTATGGTTCTTAATCTTTTTCACCAAAAGGTCAAATATATCCCTAATAAATCTACATTGGGACATTATTCTACGGTGGTCATTTTTCTTTCCGCAGGGTATGCAGATTTTAAGGGTGCTGCCATTTTTATACAGGCAATAAGGTCTTTTTTGACTTCTAATAATGACCGAAGGTCTTTTTTTTTTATTTTTCGAATGGAAAAATGACCCCGTCATTATTCTACGGGCGTCATTATTCGTCTTTTCACTGACCCTAACTTGTTACCTGTTAGTAGATAGTAACGAGACTTTATTTGCGATAAATTAAAAATGATATTAAAATGTGTTTTGTTAATGCATATTATTTGACTTTAAATATAAATCTTAATACAACGCCAAATGAATTTATATTAATATATTAATTTGTAATTAATTATAAAACTTAATTGTTTGAAATAGAAGTATAGTGCACCAATCTCCTCCTGTGATACCAAATGCACTTAACATCTTTTTTACCTGATTATTAAAATTCAATGCACGCAATCTAAAAAATAACATAAGGCGGAATGCAAAATACATATTTCCCCATCATCTAAAGATGAATATCAACTTGACCGCAGAAGACGACCTTCCTTGTGACGCAGTCAGCAAAAGAGAGCATAAATAGAGATTGCGGGCTCCGAATCTTCACTACGCTACTAACAGCCTAGTGAGGAACTCCCGACCAGGTAAGAACACTTCGCATTATTTTACTTTATTGCTTCATGAAATCTATTATTCACAGCAATCATGATATAATTTGTGCTGTTTTTTTCCGTATATATTCAGCATTTTAATCTTTATCTTTCAGACAATGCTGCCATATATCGTCCTTGCTTGTGTCGCTCTTTGTGTAAACGCCGATTACGACAAAAAGTTTCCCTACTACGATTACTATGGACAAAACTTTGGAGGACCTGGAGGTTATCTTTTAGGCAGCGGACCGGTAGGCAATGTTCTCGGCGGAGTACCTGCGCTTTCAGTGGGTGGGTCTGGAAATTTTCTAGGGGCTAGAAGATTTTTTTCCAGTAGAGGTGGCGGCGCAGCAGCTGCTTCTAGTGCCTCCACTTCTGGAGGAGTAGGAGGAGGTGCTGCTGCTGCTTCTGCTGCTGCTGTTTCAACAGGTGGGCCATCTCAAATCATCCCCTATAGAAACTACTACGATGACTTTTCTTACTATAGCCCCGGCAGCTTTGGATCGTACAACCTTGGACCGTATAGCTCTTCACCATTCGGCTATTACCAATCCAGCTTTCAACCTTACAGCTATCAACAGTTCAGCTATCAACCGGTCAATTTCGGGCAGTACTTCAGACTTGGCAGAGGTGGAGCTGCTGCAGCTACAGCGGCAGCGTCCTCTGTTGACGGTGGTGCGGCTGCTTCTGCTACCGCCTCAGCTGTAGGAAATCGTGGAGTAATTGGTGTTCCATATTTTGCTGGTGCTCCATTCGGCGGAGTAAGTGGTGTTCCATTTGGTGGAGTTGGTTCACCACTTGGCGTAGTGGGTGGATCATTCGGACCAGTGTTCGGAGGTGTCCCAAGACTTAGAAGGAAGGTTAGTCGATCGATAATTTCTCTTTGAGTTTTCTGTAAATATTTGCATTTTACATAAAGGGAATTTGATTTATTTACAGGTGTATTAAATGCCAACGGAATAGGCCAAACCACATGGATAACGACAACTTTTATATTGATTTCTTCATATGAATAAAAACTCTGCAATGCAAAGGTAGTCATTTTTGTTTATAATCAGCTATGTATCAGTCTTTTATCAATGTTCATTTTCATCTATTACTTGTAAAATTTGTAGATGGTAAATTTGACACACGGACAATAATCTCATCCCTAGGTTTAAAATAGCAAAGAAATTAACTTGCAAACAGGAATTGAATGAGAGGAACTCATGAGTTTCCAATTCTTTTATAGAAAATATGTAATGGATATGTAATAAAATATGTTTTAATCAAACCAACAGAAATACGGAAAAAAAATTAAGCTCTCATATTGTCAATTAACAATGACTATTTCCATTCTTATGTCGATACGATATATCCCGGTGAGCTTGAAATTAAAGATACTACAGAGTCTCACAAATCTGTTTCATAACTGGATATTTTACTAGAAAAAGACGTTAATGGTAATCTAAAAACCTAGCTTTATGACAAACGTGATTATTTAACTTTTCAATCGTCAACTTCCCTTACTTATGCGGCAATATACCTTCATCACCTGCATACGGGGTTTATATCTCTCAGTTGATTCGATACGCCAGAGCATGCTCTACGTATGAGCAATTTCTAAAACGAGATAAGTTATTGACAAACACGTTGGTGAAACAAGAATATCAGCAGTCTCGTTTAAAGTCGTCATTTCATAAGACCTATGGTTAATACAATGACCTTGTCAGCAAATACAATTTATCATTAAGTCAAATGCTGACTGACGTTTTTCATACTAAGTGTTAGGCCATTATTTACACATTGAATTGTCGACGGATTTTTCCGTTATTTCCCGATCACGAAAAGGAGCACACGGCGGGTGTGAACGGTCAGCAGGGGATGCTCACTCCTCCATATCACCTGATCCCACTTCTGCTGTCTGCTCTGCTCCAAAATTTGTATTGTTTAATGGACTTTTGAGTTTGAATATTGTTCGTTATCTCCATACAATTCATTTGATAAAAAGATGATTCTTATCCAAATATATTACAAACTGAATTCTTTAAAAAAAAAAAAAAAGAGTTACATACACGTAATGTGCAAAAAAAAAATTCTTATGAAATAGAAGGTGCTTTGCAAACCAAAAAGTGCATGTCTAGAGTTACTTTTGTGAGAATATTCCTCAGATGGAATCAAATGTCATTTTCCTCAACAAATGAGAAAATAACAAAGATTCGATCGAGCGTAAAATTTATAAAAAATATTTGCAGTCTTATTTTCTTCTCTTAAAACAGCTTACAGGTTTTGATGTTTGCACTTTTCCATACCTCCAATGTTTTGTCAAAAGATATCAAAACTCATTCTAATCGGGTCATCAGACGTTTGTACAGGAGAAGAGAGGGTCCTATATGAGCTTCTGTTTAAAGATGAGTAGTGTTAATTTGGATTCTGTTAAATTTAAAATTGATATAGACCGAGAAAACCGAGAAAGAATTCTTTCACCACTGATAAAAAGATTTCGTGTCATCATTCAATCAAAATTTTATAAATGACCCCCCCCCTTTATCCCAAGATAAAGAAAGAAAATATTTTCTTTAATGACTCTTTAATGACTATGATATTTGCTTTTAGTTATATTTTATTAAAATAAAAGAACTTGAAGCGCCGTTTGGCGCAAAGGTTAACCTTTGCTAATGATCTAAATACCCATTCCTCTCAATACCACCTGACTTCAAAAGCAAGACAACTCGCAACACTGCATGAAAAGGGCTTCTCAGTAAATTTGATCACGTGACCAACCAAGTTCATTTCCCTGTGAACTTTTAAATTTGCATTAACACTTTAGGCGATCATTTAGAAAAACAAATTTCACTTATGTTCCATCTTACTTTCCGACTAGTTGTGACCTAAAAAAATATTGCGAAGTAGTTCCTTCGAAATTGCATGAAATGTTTATTGTTTATCTATAAGTTTGGATGTATTAAGGTTTTCAGTAAACTAAACATGCAACAAATGATTTTTTCTGTTTACGAAAGTGCTTGAAGGACACTGACTTACATGTTTTTACTTTTTTGTAACGACGCTTTTACTAAGTCTTTATTATGACTCTGGTAACAACTAAATGTAACCTAGGTATAAAGAACGTGTTATCTTTGCTTATGTATATTACTAAAATATGTTTAGTGTATTACTAAAATATGTTTAGTCCTAATGATAATGTGGCTTTTGTTTGTTTGATTGATGTATTGTAATTTTACATCAGACTTCTGTGTGTGTGCGGGGGGGGGGGGGGGGGAGAGGTTCTTTATTTTGATCATTATATTTATCACAGAGTTGGAGAGAAATTGTATGGTGCCAATAAATAATGCACCCTGAGAAAAACTTTTTTTCATTACTCGAAAGAGGAGTTTATTACGGCATTTATGCTTTTTGAAACATTTCCGAAATAAAATGATAAATTTCTCTGCAGTAGTGTTGACATTATTTAAAAATCCTTACAAACAAAGATATATTGCCGGGTCCAGCAAATGCTCTTCCAACCCCCTATCTTTACTCCTTATCAAAACATTAACTGCTGTTAAGGAGAAACCTCAGACGTACTGTGCTACAACATACCCAAGAAGTGGTGTAAATCAGATGTGGATCCTAAAAACTCCTGAGAACTTTTAGAAAATCACAATTTTTTTCAAAAGTCTACAACATCAAAACGTACGACTTTTCTATTTTTAATACAATCATTCCTCACCATAAATTAAAATATAGGGTTTTTGATATTAAAGACAACTACGTCTTCTTCAATAAAAATGAATCTCGGAAATTTTCACATCTGTTTTTATATATGAAGCAGAATTTATTCAAAAACTACTACAAGACAAGAAGAAAACACTTACTCTGATTTTCAACTCGATATTCATATATATCGACGACGCATTGTTATTTCCATATATATATATATATTCGATTTATCCCAGTGAACTCGAACTAAAAAGCTGCTACAGAGTCTGTCACATCTGTTTCATATTTGGATGTTTTACTAAGGATAGACGATAACGGCCAACTAACAACTAAATTGTATGACGAAAGATATGACTTCAGCTTTTCATTTTCAACTTCCCTTATTTATGTTGTAATATGCCGCTATCACCTGCACATGGTGTTTATATCTCCCAACTTATTCAATACTCCAGAGCATGCTTTGAATACGATCAATTTTTAAACCGAGGCAGGCTACGGCCAGATAATTGATGTCACAGATTTGAAAACCTCGTTCAAAGTCAGCAGACGTTAATTCTGTGGTCTTATAATGACCTTAGCAAATACATTCTTTCAATGGGTCGAAGTTTGGCTGACATGTTTATTCCAATTGTGAAGCCTTTGTTTTATACTTATTTTGAGTGGGGAATGTTTCTTCTATCTGATCGATACATCGACTCACACTGGGTGTGACCAGTCAACATGGGATGCTTACTCCTTCTAGGCACATTATCCCACCTCTGGAATTTCTGGTGGTCAGTGTTTTATGCCAAGTTGACAGATTTGTATTGTTTGTGATTTTTTAAGATGGATCACCTTCCGTTATCTGAAGCATTTTCTAAAAGAAGATTAAGTTCGTCATTGGCAATATATATGTAGTCTATGGAGACCAGGTCTTTTAATTATCCGTTAGAAAACTGATGTGCACTGAAAATGCATCTTTATTAACCGACATGTTTTTATATTCCTGTGAAGCATTACGTATACAATATGATTAGAACAAAGAAAGATAACCGAAAGAGCACTACAGTAGTTGGAAACCTGCTACTATGCATAAAACTTCTCTATTGGTCGGATTTAAAACGAGACAACCACTTACCTTTTATATTATGACTCTCACTGAGCTCAGTGAGCCCTATGTACTGATCAGGTAGACGGTATACCCCGTAATCAATTTAGTATAAGAGGAATGGCATAACAAATGGTATCATACTTGTCAGACAAGATCCAACGATAAGCTGCATTTACAAACTAATAGTACACAAAACAGGGAACATTTTACCAAACGACTTTGATGCTGGATAATTGGGAAAGGACGTTACAACTGAAGCCCCATTAAGAAAAATTAAAGTTTTCAGCACACTGATTTGCTGATATACCCGTATTTACAAGTGCGATAACCAATTAAAATTACTTTGAGAAATAATTTTATATCATAGATAAATCATCCATGGACCTCCATGTAATAGCGAATTAGCTTGGAATATTATTTAAATTTTATTATACAATTATTTGAAACTTTAGTCTGCACGTAGGTAAGTCCCATTAAGTCTGGAAATTTTAAGGAAAAAAAATTGTGCTCAAACATCATAATTGAATAAAGTTTTATTTGTTTTTGAAATAAATAAGTTCAAGCATGTAAAGATCAATATAACTCGTTCAGGACAATTTTAAGGTCATTTTTCAGATTTCGTTATTAAATACTCTTGAAAATACTAAAAGACAGTGAAACAAAAAACATTAAGGAAGGCTTGGTGAATATATCTTAAAGGAAAAGCTAGTGGCATATCTTCAGAAAGAAAATTATATGCAATTAACGTTACGTCTGACTTTTTTCCAATAATTGGGATAGAAAATCGATTCTTAAAGTACAAGTTATTTTTTGATCTGCAAATTATGTGCTCTTGCAGTTGATTGGCATTTCCTTTAATTTTTAATTAATAATCATCATTGCAACACTGTTAATTTCTACTGTTGACAAAAAATCTGTTTTCGAGATTGTCCCGTCTCTGAATTTCACTTTAATGTTAGAAAAAAACAATGCCAGTCAGGTTTCGCTCGAACTGCCTGAAAGTGCCTACTTCCGCCAGTTACTATTCACTCTTATAGCAGTGTTTACTGTATCCAGATTCTGCATGATGTCATTTCTCCATCAAATTATTTTTATCTATCTTGAGTTGTCTGTAAGATTTGATAAGAAAATTACCAAAATAAAAAAAAATCACCCCAAGATTAAATCTTCATTCATTAAGAGGGATGGCATTTCTTTTAGTCGATTTGAGGCAATTAAAAAGTTTTTTTTTCTTCTCATTTTAATTTAGAGTACCGGAATTAATTATTATTAAACACTCATAATAATATTTCTATGCTCATATGTAAATTAAAGCTAATTGAATATAAAGGCAGTGTTGTGGATATATAAAACCTTTGCTTCGAGAAAAATTACTTGTGCCAAAGAAAATAAATTCAACATCTATCTCTTGATATATATAGACATCTCACGTTTATAATTATTTTTATGTCATATCATTGAAATGCGCCCCCTTTGTATTCAATAATTAGTGTTCACACTATATAGATCCATAGTTCAACACCTGTGAGCATGATTGATAGATTCTAGTTTGCCATCATCAATGTCAAGGACACTAAGTTATTATAAAGTATTTGAAGAAGTAAAAAATAAGATACACATGCTAAACATCAATCATACCCTTGATCTTATATTATTATTTAAACGTTCTAAAAAGCCACTTAGAAATACGACAAAGAAAATGTTCCCAAAGATTTATATTGCACTTTTTGGAATTATTATTAATTATTATTATTATTATTATTATTATTATTTTGTAATAGAAATATCATATTAAGTAAAAATTTCTGCGATTAAGAAGGAGGAATTGGATCAAAGCAGCTGAAGATCCTTCCAAACTTCTAAAAGTATACTTACTAAAGATGTAACTTAGAACCTAACACGCATTTTTTGCTAGAAATCACTCAACAATTTAATGAGCACTTTGAAGAAAAAAACATATTAGTCACTAATTGGATTAAAACGGCTTATAAGTATATTTTGTTGAACAATGAACACATTTCAAACTCTCATTCAAATTCTCATTCATTAACGTTGTCATATGCAGTTTTGGTCCTTCGATAAGGAATACTCTTAGGTACATTGTAACTATGGTCCTGGGGATTTTATGATCAGTTAAAGAAATAAATTAAGAAAAGACTTTAAAAAAAACTTTTAAAATAATACTCAAGATTCTTATTTTGGTCTTTTCTTGAAAATTCAATGCTGAAAATTATATAATTCACATATAATTGATACATTTTAATTTTAGTAAAGAGCAAGCCACAAAGAATGAAGACCATAATAAATGACTAAATTCACTTTAAGTAAAACTGAGGTGGATTGTCAATTGAGCCGTCAATCAATTTAATATTTCCTCGTCTAAATTATGAACTTCTTCCAAATTATTTAACATTATTTTCAAAAAATATAACGGTATGACTCTATGTGTACGTAATAACTGATTTTCAAGCTATATAAAGAGACTACTTTTTGACAGTCTAACACTGTATTCGGTACCAGTGAGAGGCGCAGTAGATTCCAAGGTACACTGTAAGTTATAAAAATTTATTAAATATCTTTAGTTTCTAACTTATAAGTCGTAATGTATTTAAATGATATCATTTACAGTTTATGTTGCAATCAAATGTAGTATTTTTGTAATAGTATTATGATTTGGATGCACTATGCCGAAATAATAGTCAGGGTTTGACATATGGTGCACGAGCTGGAAACTATTTTTTTCGGCATAGGTAATCCACTTATAATTACAATCATTATGGTGATTGTTTTATGTATTCTACAATTTAATTAAATTATAAATTATAAACTTGTTTATAGACGCAAAGCTAAATGAAAACGTTCTTAAACATTCTTTTATAATGCGTTTATATGAAAAAGCGGTTTAGTGTCTCCGAAGTACCAGTTCATATTACCTTGCAATTTTGCTTATTTCATTAAATCGAAAATTCATTAGAGGATTTTTCTTTAAAATCCTTGTCAATGATATCAGTCTTCTGAAAATGATGTTCATTTCTTTCTTGTTTTGTTTAGAATGTAAGAAATAACGTTTATATACTTGAAAACAAATTTTGCAAAGCAACGGAGCTCGATCATGGCTTCATCGGTAGCGTATTGGAGTGTGATTGGACTGACCTTCTCAAGATCGTCAGTTCGTTCCCTTGCGTTGCTGCTAAAATGATTTTTCCAGAAAAAAGCGACCGTGTACTATTTTGGCATAGTTTGCTTACTCTTATATAAATCCTTTGTATACTATGCAAAAACTAGTTGGGAATTGATTATATAGAGACAGGCTTACAGGAAGCATAATAATTATTGCTTGTACCATTAGTAGTAGTTCTCTTTAAAAAGATAAGTCCAGATTTAAAAAAAAAACTATATTTTAAAACCAAACGTAACTATAATCTATTTGTGCCAAAAAAACATCGCTTTATTTTTACTTGCTTGAAAAATTTATTCAACAGATGCTGAAATTCGCCGCCCTAGCATGCCTTGCTTTCTGCGTTATCGCAGACAGTGATTATGAGTATTCCTCGTCAAGCGATGGTGACAACTATCCTAAATGGGGCGGTGGAATTTGGGATTTTGGAGGTATTGGAGGTAGTTCTGGAATCTCGATAGGAGGTGGAGTTGGTGGAGGAATTGGTGGTGTCTCTGTAGGAAGAGGATTAGGAAGAGGAATCAGTGGGTTGTCAATTGTAGGTGGAAATGGACCTCTCGTCTATGGAGGCCTTAACTCAGGATTCTTCGGAATTGGAGGTGGATCAGCCGCTGCAAGCGCTGCTGCCGCTGGAAATGCCGCCGCCGCTGCTGCTGCGGCTGCTGCTGGACGAAATGCTGCAGCTGCCAGTGCTGCTGCCTCTTCTGGATTTGGATTTCCATTCTACTGGAACACTTTCCCATTCAGCAGGCAATCTTTCTACAGTTCAAGATATCACTACCCATCATACCATTACAGACACAGTTATCCATCTTACTACCAAGTCAGCTATCCATCTTTTTACCAAGCCAGTTTCCCTTACTTTGGTGTTGGGGGTGGATCCTCTGCTGCTAGTTCTGCCTTTGCTGGAGGAGCCGCTGTTGCCTCAGCAGGTGCCTTTTCTGGACTAGGAAGATTTTCTGATGGAATCATCCTTGGATCTGGATATCCCAAAAAGGTGAGACATTTTTTCAATAAATGCTGAAGATAAATCATCTTAAAATGGTTTAGATATTTTCCAAAGGTACCATATGATATTGAATCATTTTATTTTACAGGTTTACTAAACAAGAAGCGGATTTTAAATGTTATCTGGATTTGTGGTTGATTTTTGTTAATAAATATTTGCTCATGAGATACATGTATTAAATTATCAAATTTTCTTATCCATAATGATTCGTCAGAACTAGAAAGTTTGTTATTGGAAAACAATAGCGTATGCAAAACCAAACTGACCCTGAAATATTGGAATTGAAAACAGTAAACAAGTACGCAAAGTTAGTGCAGTATTTCAAAAAACCATTACCTTGACAATGCAAATACACATGGTCATGAGATAGCAACTTTTCTTAAATCATTCATGATTTTTATAGCCATTGCAACAAACTTTGTACATCCGATTCCATTATTTTTTCATTAACCTCTAAGACACGACGCAAAGATTGATTGATTAATTGTATGTTGTTTTACGTCCCATTCGAGAATTTTTCACTCATATAGAGACGTCACCATATACCGGTGATGGGCTTCAAATTTTGACCTTTACTCGGCACTCAGGGCCATTGAGCAGTGAGGGATCTTTATCGTGCCAACGTCTGCCGTGACACGGGGCCTCGGTTTTTAAGGTTTCATTCGAAGGACCCACAACTTTCACTTCAAAGTGCCGAGCGCATGGCAAAGGAACAGTTGCTACCCATTTTTTATCGACTTAGGTCAGTCGCGGCCGAGATTCGAACTCACGACCTCCGGATCACGGAACGAGCGCCACGACGCAAAGAACAATCTTTTAAAATTTCAAAAAAGATTTGCTTGCAGTGGCTGAGAAAAATGAATTTTAAAAAATACCTTTTTGTCGTTTCCATGGCAACGGCAGCCATAATGGAAGTTTGAAATGTAAAAATACAACTAAACTTGGTGATTATCCAGTCTGTAAAGTTTTATAAAGATTGTCAAAGCCATCTGCGAGAAAAAATTGTGGATAAAATCAAAGATACAAGTATGCCGACTACACTCAGGGTGACAAAAATAATTGATAGAACTAAGTGTTGCACCAAATAGTATTTTTTATTTTGCTTTTCTTAACATCAAAGGAAATTCTGTTTCATCAGATTTAATTCCTTTTCTTTTTTGAAAGTTGTGTAATCCTTACAGCGCTTACAACTAGTAAAAAAGATATAGCTAAGTCTCTTTATTCATTTATTTTTTTTTAACTTTAAACTTGGGTCCAATAAACCCAGTTTGAAATACCTTATTAACTTTAAATCACACTACAGATTGTTATCATGAATTCTTTTTAGATTTTAGATTTCTCAATTACTTTAATCAATGACTGACATTAGATCCGGTTGTAGCATACTAATATTAAATCCAGATTTTGAATGAAAGCAGGATATTGAAGGGTTTAATTTTCATGACTCGTTTTATTACCTAAAAATGTTTGAAATATGGGTTCACTATTGCTTAAATAGCAGTTTATTTGGACATCATAAACAGTTGATCACGAGGTAGATTGGGAAAAAAGCATGCCTAAATTAAGTTGATTTAATGGACTAATCATTCCAGTAGCACAGACCTCCTAGAGAATTTATAAACCAGGATGGCCTCCAAAATGAAAACAAGAAAAGAAAATCTACGGATCTGATGGTGCTGCTTAAGCAGATGCAAATGGTTAAAATACAATTACATCCTCTCTGTGGAATCTCAGGAGAATGCTGTGAAAATACTTTTTTCCACGGGATCATGAATGACCATATCGATTCAAATTGAAAGTAACCGAAATATTTTTTTATAAACATATATAGAAAAAGATACAATATTTGGTCTTTCATAATTAAAGGTTTTGATTCTGTTGATACTGATGTAAAAGTGATGTGTACAATGAAAAATCTCTTAAATCCAGTAAGAAAAGGAAGTGAATAGGGCAAAACACCGACCCAAGGAAACATCAGAGGTAGGATCAGTTGCCTAGAAGGATTAAACATCCCCTCTCGACTTGTCACACAATTTGTGAGCCCTGTGTATTGATCAAGTAGATGGAGTACTCCTTAGTCAAATTTAGTATAAAGGCAATGACTTAACTAATGTTATCAAAAATGTCAGACAAAATACACACCAACGATAGACTGAATTGACAATGAAGGTCATTATAACGGCCGTAGAATTTGCGAAAAGGTGACTTTAAAGTTTAAATACTAGGATTGTTAAAATCCTAGTGACATCAACTTATCTGTCAGTGGCCTGCCTCGAATTAAAACTTGATTTTACTCAGAACATGCTCTTGTGTATCAAATCTGTCTGGACACATAAACACAATATGCAGGTGATGTGTGAATATTAGTAGATAAGTAAGGGAAGTTGACGTTGGAAAAGCTGAAATCATCCTGATTGTCATACAGTTCAATTATTAGTTGGCCTTTATCTTTTATAGTCAGTAAAACATCCAGATATGAAACAGATGTGGCAAACTCTAGATCTGTAGTGTCTTTACTATGAGTTCACTGGGGTATATTGAGTCAACATTTGAATGAAAGATACCTACTATATCTAAATGATAAAACGTCGTTGATATATATAATTATAGTGTTGAAGGCCACAGCAAACTTTTTTCTTCATGTAGTAGTTTTTGAATAAATTCTGCTTTATAGTAATATAAAACAGGTCGGCAAATAAAAGGGTTCAATTAGTGTCCATCGAAATTGCAAACGGATTGTTGAAAGACTTGGTCTCTAAAGATTACATAAATATGTCAATGAGGAATTTAATATCAATTTCAGGGCACTTTACGTAGAATCAGAATGATTTTAACAATGTTATTTTGTAGATGACCAATCACAAGATATCATTATGAAATTTGCGAGTTCCATTTTTATTGCAAAAGCAGTTGTCTGTGAAGTCAAAAAGCCTGCTCTTTAATTTATCTCGAGGAATACTTGTCTTCATCATAGAAAAGTCATATGTTTAGATGCTTTTGATGCTTGACAACTTTTGACTTCTTAAATTTTCCAACAGTAGTTTTTTATAATCTACATTTTATTTATACCACTTTTTGAATATGTAGTTGTATTATACATCTGAAGTTTCTCTTTCACAGCAGTTGATATTCTGTTGAAGAGTATGAATAAGGGTTTCGTTGAACTGTTACCGAATCCTGTAATACTTGTATATCTTTGTTTTATGTAATTTTACGAGGGGTTATCAAAAAGCTCGTGGACTAGCGCCAAAAAATGAAAACTGCTTTAGGTACATCAATGAAATTTTACATATTTAGTTAACATAATTTTTCTATCTGTACAATAAACTATAAATCATAAGTTTTATTTTCTAATAAATTTTTAATGTTTCTGTACACAACCTCAAACATGACGTATTCTCTACCTGAGTGTAACTGAGAAACACTCCTTTGATATGAGCATTTGTCTTGTAATAATCACGTTAATTTACTCACGTGGTATGACACAATAGTTCCGTTAAAATTGCAATTTTTACCCGTAAGTTCTATGACATCTTACCGTAAATTTTATGTGGAATGTCCAATCAAATACGGTGTTAAAAATGACTTAAGAAGGAAGAGGGGTGTTTTTCCACACATTCCATAAGGTTTCATCCCTTGAAAAATTGGCATAGATCTAGGAAATATTTAAAAGGGCTACAGAGAAATAAATTGCATCCAGAATATCTGTTTTTAAATGGCGAAAGAGATTCAGAGAAAGGAGAGATGCACAGTTCATGTCGATTTGTAGTGCAGGTGTCCTAAGTCAGCTCTGCGGATAAAAAAATACGTATTTTCAAATGAATATGCAAAGATTTGGTGTTTTGTTTTCAGATGGTCCTTAAAAAATATACAACTATTATTCAAATAAAACATGCTTCACGGAGCATGTCACTTTTTAGTACATTTACATTACATAGACATTTTTTAATTAAAAATTGCACTGTTGTAGCGCATAATAATGTATGATAATACACCCGTCGCTACAATATTTATGAAATGTCATTTGGAGAAATTTTGAATTAAACTGGAGGGTTATGTCTGTGTTATCGCTAATTATAGATGGTCAATGCGTAAAAACTGGAGGGTTATGTCTGTGTTATCGCTAATTATAGATGGTCAATGCGTAAAAACAAAGTCAAGAATGGCAAGGTCATTGAATGTCTTGGAGCACAGGGCTATTTAAAATGTGTTTGAAGACAGATTAATACAGAAAGAGACTAACATGTTTTGAAATGCCACTGGGGATTGCCTATATGTAGTTAGACTCTAAGTTAAGTGTTCAAATAGTAGTAGCTTTTTCAGATTGGAAGGATTGACATTTATGGTAACCATTTCCTGCGATACCCCAATACCCCGCTTATCACATGGACGTTACGCCTAACATGTCTTGATATATTTATAAAATTTTCAAGCAGGAAAAAGACATGAAAAGTCTTTAAAACTGAAAGATAATTTGAACTGTGAAAAAGCTTAAAAGGTTTGGAATCAGGTTGTCACGTCACCCAACGTCAAATGATGCTCCGTGAATCCTATGTCCACACAATAAAACTCATTGTATATTTTCAAACTTTTAGTAAATGAACCTGATTTTTTTCATACTAATAAGCAAAAGACAAGAATTTAATCAAACATACGTCATTCTCCAAATTACACAATAAATTTTCCGCGAACTTTTCAAACAACTCTCGTATTTGCTAACTGCTAAAACCCTATGCTTCAAAATTCAAAAGACATAGGTTAAAGTAAACTGCCAAAGGGTATTTTTTGCAAAAAAGGTCAAGGGTCAAGGTCAAGTGAATTGTAGCGCTAGTATTTTTCATAATGTATTATGAAAAACAGTGCACACGCAAAATAACAAAGGCTTACCTCTTAAATGTAAAAAAAGAAATATGCTGAATATCGGCACTATAAACTATTTTGAAAAGTAGGTTAATTGTCAAGGTCAAGGAAAACGATGTTGGTAACCATGGTAATTTACAGAAAGCATAGAGCCAAACAATATATGTGCAAAATATCAAACCCATACTTCTTACAGTTCTCGAGATATAAGATGTGGCAGACGGACGGACAGACGCCGGGTAAAGTGACCCCTAGCTCTTTAATCACCAACTTTCCTTATTTATGCAGTTACATTCAAATATCAAAT